TCTCCCAAGTACAGCAAATACTAGGCACAATTATAGTCTCGAACTTTGACAGTGAATAAGTGGATATTAAATAGGACTTACTAAAATATAGATAGATGCATAAATCTACTCACTTGCGCCATAAATTATCTTATCACATACTAAAATGACATGCGAAAATGATAGATTTCAAATTACGAAAGGAAAAACAAGGTTCACGCAGAGTCCAAACTCCATACTTCCTAACGACAAAAACTACAAAAAAGTGAAAAACACACTGCATAATCTAAAATTAAAAGGAAAAACAAGCAACACTCCCAACATAAGCAAGAATCATGGCAGTGGGACCCAGTCCCCAGCTGTAAGACTTGGGCTCCCATTAATGGGCCCACTGCACAGCAGCTGGGCCGGCAGGAATGACCCAGCTGGCTCCCAGCCGGAGATTCCGCCGCCAGCCTCCGACGCGAAGGACTCCATCAGAGATGCTATGTTTCTGATGTGGGTGGGGTGCAGCGGCTCGGAGATTACCGGATCGAACATCATCTGTCCTCCGACGTTTCCGTCTCCGCCGCCTGCGGCTGAGGACGGCGGAGATGAATCCGGAAACATCCCCTCCATCACCTTCTCCATCTCAGCGAAATCCGGCGCCAACGCATCCAAAATCTCCGCTTCCTCCAGATCGTAATCGAACGATTCCAACCCGAACCCGACTCCCCCGCCGCCCAGATCCGCTGCCGCCGGACCGTTGCCGCACGAAAGCGGAAGCGGCGGGAGTTCGGGGACCGCCGCCGGCACTCGAATCGACGGCGGCGGCATGAGGGAGACATTGTAGCTCGCCTGCACCGTGGGGTATGGGCGGCCGAGTCCATTGAGTGTCGCCCCCGGCGGAGCCGCCGCCGCTTCCACCGCGTAAAATTGGGTGATTTGCGGATTAGGGTTCAGCTGGTTGTGGGCCAATTGGGGATTCTGGAAGTTCGCTGTGTTGGACATGAGCAGGCTACTATTAGCGGGCCTGAGATCCGAAGGGCCCAAGCTCTGATGGGCCATAAGCTTTCTCTTGATATTGGAGTTCCAAAAGTTCTTCACCTCGTTGTCAGTCCTTCCGGGCAGGTGCCTCGCAATCTGAGCCCACCTGCATTGAAAAATAAATTCAATAAAAAATAATCTAAAGAAGGTAAAATTTAAATTTAATTTAATTTAATTTGCATGCATAGTGTTATTGGAGCACCTGTTGCCTAGGACCCGATGGAGCTCGATGATGATGGAAGCTTCTTGTGGAGTGAAATTGCCTCTCTTGAGATCGGGCCTTAGGTAGTTTATCCACCTCAGTCTACAACTCTTGCCGCACCTTTGCAGCCCTGAAAAACCGCAAATTCAATTAAATCAAGATTCTATAAATCCACAAATCCAATAAATCAAGATTTCGAATCCGAGGCATGCAAAGACAAATAAACAAATGCACCACACTCATATCACATGG